CAAGCCACTACAATGTGCAGTGTAGAATATTTCAACCGTTTCTTTCTATGGCATAATTAGGCACACCCAGGCAGACACCACACTGACACACACATTCACAGCAATCTTGGATCCAAAGGGGAAAAAATCAGTGATTTGCAAAAGGTCTTTTTTTTTTTCCGGTTTAGAAGTGACTTTATTTCAATCAACTGAGCTGAACATGTTAAGAAAAGGAGAAAAAACACAAGGGGGGGAAGGAGGAGGAGGAGGAGGGATGCAGTATTTTGAGTCAAACGGCCATTGAGGGCTGTGATGCCGTTTATATGCAGAAACAGTGGCATCTAGTGGGCAGTTTTTCAGATAAGAAAAGATAGAGTTAGCAGACTGGATATAAAACAAGTCAGTGATTAAAGCTAATGATATGTTTATCTCTTTCCTAGATGAAAGATTTTCCCAAGTCTGTTGTAATCCTTTTCTGTAAAAGCATTTGGAAGTCAACTATTTTGCCAGTTTTCCCATCTGCAATATACAAATTTCAGAATATTTGTTTTTCCTATTTTCATTACATTAAGCCCTCTCTTGGCTTTCTTATGTAAATTCTAATCACTTAATGTCATATAGATTATCATAAATCTTCACCCAGTAGGAAAGCTAATGGTTTGCATACATGTATAGAAGTCTAGCTTTTTTCCTCAAGATTTTAGACATAGGCAAAAATAAACCTTCAACTAGTCCTTGAACACACTTGATCTCATTCAGCTTTAGATGATTTCAAACACAGAATGGCTTTGAAGGAAAGATCTGTGTAAAGGAAGAGAATAAAAACACAGTAGAGCAGCCACACTGAAGGACTCTGGAAAACATTTAATCACATAATTTCTGTAGCTATAACTAAGTATAATGTTTATACAGTGTTAAGCTACATACTTTTTTGCTAAGTATGTATGAGTTTTTTCACCGCTGAGTCATAATAAATGCTTAAGTTAGTTTATTTATACCTGACCCTAAGATCCTGTTCTTTTATTAGTCCACTGGATTACATGTAAAACACTATCTACATTTTATGGACATACAGAAATGTATAATAAGCAGGATGAGGGGTTGCTACATCCATGGCAATAGTCTAAAGTACTCACACTGATGGTTTCCCTCTCTCTTTAGACTGCAGGGCTTGCCAATACTGGGCAAACTTCTGAAAGCCTGCTGTGCTGTTACGGCCTCCTCTTCTTTGGCTGTCTCTCAGGTAGGTTGAAGGGTGTTTCTCTGTTTACTTGCAGGGCCCAAATGAATGTGTATGAATGGAGGACTTGACTTCTTCAATCTGGCAGAAGATCTGGTTGTCTTAAAAAGAAGTATCTTGGCTATGTTCTTCATGATCACAGGATTACAGAGGCACTGATAGGCTTCAGCACAGGTTTTTCTTCTTTACCCTCATAATCTGTTCTCTCTCTTTTTCTTTACACTTCTTTCTCCCTTTATTCTTTATGTTTCAAACTTTCCTACATTATGTCTGCTGTTTTCCTTGTCTTGATGAACCAGGAGGTAATTCAATGGTCAGTTCTACCACAGAACAGAAGTGTAGAAGCTTTTAAGAGAGTTTACTTTTGTAAAGAAGCTTAAATGCTGGAATTCTAGAAAATCTGGTAGTGGTTTTGATTTGAATCTGAGTGCAAACATGGGTTGGCTCTTTTGCCTATTGGCTAGATCAATCAGCCTGACACAAATGTGGGCTAAAGACTCTTAACACTATACCAATTTTTTTTCCCTTATGTAGTGGAAGAAAGCATGGACCAGGCACCTGGAAGCATTTTACCTTTATATGTTTCTAGTTCCCTCTTTGTAAATTAGACATAATATTTTACTTTTCTTTGGAGACACATCTATGAGATCCTTCAACCCCAATGTGGAAAAGCAAACAAAAACAATAAGCAATCTCTATTCCATATGTTTGCTTTAGGATTAGCTCAGTGTTACTGAGGTAGACGCAGAAGACTATTAGCTAGACTATTAACTAAACTAACCTTACTAGTTATCTAACTCATCACTGAATATAACTAGATGGGTGTTCTTTTATTTAAGAGAAGTACTTAAATTAACTTTCACTGGGTGAAAGTTGGCATAATTGGGATCGGCATGAATTTTTCACTGCGCAAGAAAAAACAGAGCCAGGATTTCACCTAATGACTTTCACTTCAATGGAGATATGCAAATTGAGATCTGTGTATTGAGAGTATTATGAATGAAGCACACAATAGCAGCCTGATTGTACTTTTTTACACTCCCAGATTTAATCTGTGATTTCATCTTGACAGTAGCGGAAAGCAAGCCTTTGATGCTTTGAGATTTAAATTATTTCCTTGGAATGATCTAGGAGAGCTCTCTTACTGGAAGGAAAGTATACTAGGACTGTTGATCCATTTCAGCCTACCAAATGCTCTGTTACAGCAGTAATTACCTTATGTATCTTCATAAAATTGTTCTTTATTTTGCTACAGTCCTCAGGCTCTTAGTGTGACTGCAGTGAGGAACTCTGAAAGTTACTTTGGTCCATTCATAACTAATTCTATTGCTGTTACAGATCGTAACAGTCATGTAAGAGCCATCAAGACATTTTTCATGTTGTTTTGCAGATATCATACGTTTACCATCTGGCTGTATGAGATATTCTATACCAAGGCATAAGTTATAAAGGCACACAGGCAGAAAAGGGGTGGCTGGATACATGTGCCTGACCTGGCAGAATTATAAAGGAGAGGGAAACGTTGTGCAGCGAAACTACAAAATTATTAGACTGCACCATAGTGCTTCCCAGCTGCTGATCCTAGAAAGTCCTTGGATGTTTCCCTTGCACTTTGCAATACTGAGCCTTGCTTCCAGTGATTTTTGTCAGCATATAGTATGGGAGACTAAGGTAACAAAATAATCTGAAAATAGATTTGAATCAAGTTTTTATTATGAAACAATGCATTAAATACTCATCAGGCAATTAAACATAGATTAGTGTTGCATAAATGTTATGTCTTCATACAATATTGTTATTTAACATACAAAACTGTAACTAAGGATTCCTCCAAAGTCCAGAAAGCTGGCCTTGATTTCGTGTTTATCTTCTCCAATTTTCTATGGACCTCTCCCTCTAAATTCCTTTTGCTTCAGGCAGTCTAAAGCTGTACCCATAAAAAGCATACTCTAGGACTCATCAGTGATTCAGTCTTGCCCATATCGCAGAACTGGGGGAAACCCTTGATTTATTTATTCATGCATGCAATCATTACTGGTAGCAAATACATGGTGGTCTATAACACATCTAGCCATTTATAGTTGGCAGTTTTGCTGTATCACTGGGATTGCACTGTATTGCAAAGAGGTTCAGCTCTACAGTGAGCATGTAGCCAATGCTGGAATAGTCTTGTCCTCCTTAACACAATCAGAGTATATATCTTCTTCAGTGCCCGTGAAGAGATCTGCAGGAAAAAAAAAAAAAAAGAAAATATAATTAAAAAACATGCTGACATTGGCCATACTGATAACATACAAAGGGCTTCAAATCATTTAAGCACTTTTCTAACATTAATTCTTCACAGTCGCCTGTGAGCAGCTTTTGTGAAGAACTACAATAGCTAAGTGAGCCAGCTTTCAACTGTGCCTCAGCTGGAAAATTTTTTTAAAACTTCCAATTTACGTCCTAGGGCTAAGGTTTGGGAATTTTGTGGTTTTGTTTTTAAATAAGTTTCAGACCTTTGTCTTATTGTGGATTAGCATAGTTCCATTGAAGTCTACCACAACATCCGGGTTTTCAAAGGTATTTAGATACGTACAGGTACATATAGATAGCACTATTTTAAGCAGACAAACTTTCTGTCTTTTGAAACAGATCAGCCCTGACAGACACCACCTCTGTATTCTTCTGCTTAAATGTTTTTGAAAGTATGGAGCTAAATCTGCAACTTCTACGTTAAAAAGTTAGCTGTGAGTGATATAGCATCACTATTATGGTGATGATTCAAATTCATCCCAGTTGACAAATTTCATGTCAGTTTAAAAATGTAAGCAGGCAGGCTCATCCTGTTATAATAATATACAGATGTAGGTATATGTCCTTTTTTTGGCATCACAAATGGATAGGCTATTGGATAACTGGAAGAGTTTATGATTAATACTTATATTTTACAATCCGATACATTCCTTACCTGAATACATCACATTTTTTTTAATGCAGTGATAAGTAGATACTGCATGCAAAACACACAAGGAAGTAAAGGATGGAGATATCACAAACCTAATGTGCATGTTTTGTCACCAACTGGCTTGTGAGTAGGGCCTGGTTTCTGAGCTTTGGAATATATTTTCCCGTTGAACTCTATGATGCATATGATAAACAGAGGCAGTAGAGCAAATGATGCTGTCTATTACACTGATGTTGAAAACTATTTACAGAACTAATAATCCATGCACAATCTGTGAAAATGTTCTATGTTAATGTTTGCCAGCATGTGTACTAAATAGTGAATTCCATTTAAAAAATCAGCAGCTAGCAAATTATTACAGCTGAGATACTGCAGAACAGGCTCAACTCCTAGCAGGTCAGACTGCATCTTAGATATCTCAAGGGTGACAATTATGAGCTTAATCCTGCCACAGTCCTACTGAGAGCTAAGTGAACAAGTACAAGACTTAAATAGGTGAGTTGGAAAAGGAGCACAAGCAGACAGGAAAGAAGCAGGAGCAATCTGAAGCAACATTAATAAGAATATTGTGCAGTCACCAACTTATATCTACATAGCAGAGAAATGCATAACCAAATGTTTCATTAACATGAACAGAACTACAGTGGCACAGTTGATGCCCAGGACACTGATGTTCCTTGTCACTGCTCTGTTGCCAGACACCTTTCAGCACAAGGTACTTCCTCCAGCCACTGTTCTTTCCTCTTCCAGTTTGTGTCTCTGCCTTTTATTATGAAGAAAGAAATACACACTGTAACAGAAATATATATACCAGCTGCAGGGTAGGCAAAACCATTAGATTGGATGGACTAAATCCCTGTTGCAGTGTGGGAAGCAATGTGGATTCAACCAGTGTTCAAGGAATTGTTCTTCTGATCTGTGCTCCAAGCGCTGGAGGTAAAGCATATACTCCTATTTAAAGAAAGGAAAAAGTAATTTAATTATGTAATGACTCAAGTCTAATGTCAGGCTAATGAACCAGAAGACATTTACAGCTTATAAAAGAGCAATTAATTTACCCCTGAAAATTATCAAGTATAGTGAAATGCTATTGCCAGTTAGCTTGCCCCAACCTAGCAATATTTAATGAATGACACCATCATCCAGACCAGTAAAAGTGTTGAGCAAGAAGTTTACAACAATATTCATAAGTTAGGAATTCTGCATACACATTTCTCATTTGCATATCAACACAGAAGCCTCAGTTGGTCCTGAAGGTACAGAAAGATTCTCACAGATAGGTCTGTTGTAGCCTCTTTTGAAAATTGATTC